GGGAGGGAGGGAGGCAGTTTCATGATCATGCTGGGAAGAAGAGATTCAATGGAAGGAGATTAGAGAGGCTAATGAAAAGGGTATGCTCAATGTAATAAATGTGCATACATATGCATATATATTGCAAAACAATAAGTTTTAAAAAGAAAACTTTAAAAATTTGCTTCATAACTTTCAGAGACTAAGTCAATATCTTTATTGATTCCAAAAAATGACAGAAAATAAAAGACATCTTTAAGGAAAAAAAATGATGTAGGACATTCTTCTATTACTTGCTGTTTTTGCAGTATACCAAGCCATCCTCTTTCTTCAGATAGAAAAAGGACGGGACTGGCAGATTACTCAGAAGTCAGATGTTTTGAATGATATTCATGTTTATACAGCTGTGGATGAGAAGTCATGTTGTGCAGACTTTGCTCCTAGCTGTCGTATTGTACTCTATAACTCAATATAAAGCTGTGGATGTTCTCATTTTTATCATTGCATCACACGCTTCAAATGTTTACATAATTTCTGATAAATATTGGCTTCACAAGACAAGACAGAATGAGCAGGGAAACCTGACTCTTATTTTGGACAACTGGAAGAAACAGGGAAATTAGGAAGTGAAGAAACACCACAAACATTAAGGTATTGTATCATTAATCTGAGAGTTAACGTCTACATATCACCGAAGTATGACAATGTTTTATGGTGACCTAATAAAAGGCATTTAGGGAAGTACAGATAAGAAGTATTTAGTACTGGCATTTCTTCTCACTTGATATGGAGTTACAAAATACTTCTCCAGCACAACAATTCATTTCCTTGCATTAGAGCAATGTCCTAGTAAGCAGCTCAAATTGTCTTCGGTGTTGAAGACTTACTTAAAGGGTAAGTTAAATACCAGGTCCCTCTCAAGGAAGAAGCAGCTTCTCTGTAATCCCAGCACTCAGGCAGCAGATAAAGGCAGATCATGAATTTAAGGCCAGTCTTGACTGCAAAGATCTTATCTCAGAAGAAGCAAACAATGACAAGAAAAAAAAAAAATGGACCTACGAATAGTTCAGCAGGTAAAAGCATTTGTTGTCAAGTCTCAAGACCAGAATGCTATCCCATTTGATAGAAGGACAAGTTGTCCTCTGGCCTTTCCACATTTAGTATGGCACATTCAGAAACACAATAAATAAACATACAAACAAAGGCAAAAAAATTAAAGCAGTACTCACCACCTTTGTTCAGTTCTGTGGACAGAGTCTGGTTGCCAGTCGGATGGGAGACAAAGCAGAACACAGCAGACACATTGCTGTGCTCCCCATGGTATGTGCTCCTCACAGTCACAGTGCCATTGCTGTGTGATTCATTCTTAGTCACATGATACCCATCTGGGGTCCAAGAGATCTGAGCAGCAGGCTTGCCTGCAATGGCCTCACAAACTGCAGCTCTCTTTTCCCCTGGAAAGAGGGAGACTGCAGGGGGGACTGTGGACATAGAAAGGAAAAAGACTCAGCCTTGTCACAAATTCCAAAGGCATTTGATTCTGTTTAAAATCTGGTGGCCTGAAATACCACAATGTGTGACAAGTTGCTTACCTAGAACTTGGAGGTCATGTCTCTTTTGGAAATGCCCTTCAGGTGATGCCGTCTGACATGAATAATTCCCCTCATGACCGAGGGCCACTTTATTGATCTGAAGGTCAGGACTCTGGTCAGGTGTGAAGGCCCAGGTGATTCTCCTGTCCGTACAGTTGACTTCACCAATCTCATTTGTTTCTACATTGTAGGATATTAAGCAGGGAGGCTGGCCTCTGAGGGTTATTTTCCACGTTATTAGTACTATTGGTTTTGTTCCTGAAATACGAGGGCAGCACAGCAGAGCCTTTGTACCCATCTGTACAGACACTGGAGTGCTAGCTGGACACACACACAAAGAGAATGAGAAAATGAAACCTGTGTGTTAAGTCTGTCCACAGCAGCGTATATGAAGTTACCCTAGAGCATTGCTTGGTTAATGAGTGTATCCCAGATTATTATATTTTTCTCACATTTATTAGTTCTGTGTTCAATCTATCAGAATTAAGTACATTATTCACTTTCTAAAGTAAAACTTCAAGGCCTCTGGGCTACACACATGTTGCACCATAAAACCTCACATTGCCTGTACATGGACTTAAAGAGTCCATGATGGCTACAAGTTTGCTGAGTGGAAACTATACAACAAAACTGTCTGTTACAGTCACCTGTGACAAAAAGTCAATCATGCCATCACTTTAACTGGGAAAAAGCCTTGCTTCTGATAAACATTGCACCAACTATCTCAGCTATCCTATTTCTATGTCACTTGCCCCGTTGGGGTCCTCAAGTCCTCACAAGTCACATCCAAATCAAAGTCATCTAATTAGATGACGAAGGGTTCTTCAACACAGACCTGGGACGGTGCTAATCCCATAGCCTTTCTTACTCTAAGACAGCAAAGGTTCAGAGGCAATTGTTCAGGGTTCCTCACACCACAACCCTCACATCACCAGTCTGTTCCACTCATCCTAAATCTAGCCAGCAACCAAAGCAGTAGCTACTGTTTCTAAGCCATTCAACTCTCTATTCCCGCAGTGCTGGCCACAAGATAAAGAAGAAGGGTACCTTCTGTAGGTGATGAATCATTCTGTGATGTTTGATTCATACAACTTGACTCTAGAAAATATTTGAATAAAAGTGTTTAGATATTTAAACCATTGTAAGGCAATAATTAGAAGTTCAATCATCATTGATATGTCAACATCTTGAAAATTACATTTATAAGATATTAGTCAATTATTTCCCACTTATGAATGACCTTATTTTGTCAAATGGTTTGTAGAGTAAACCTGCTTTCCTTCTTCCAGCCCCTTGCCAGGTCCAGTGTGGACATTGCACACAAGATAACTTGGTTAAATTCCTCTCTCCAGATGTCATCCCCTAATTAAAGCCATTTGGTCCAATAATGAACATTACACAGATGAAGAAACAGGACCATCCTCTCTCTTTCTTCCTGCTTTCAACCTTGTGAGTGAACAACAGAAGTGAAGCAGAACAGAGGTAGGGACAGGGTACTGTTCCTTTCCTCTGCCCACTTTCTTGTCACATAGTTCCTGGAAACTATTTGTATTCTTTCCTTGAGTTCTGTAGAATTTCTCACAATTATAGTAATCCCAAGCCACGAGTCCCTGCACAGAGTGGGAGGCAGGAGAATCATGAATGTCAGAGCAGCTGGCCACAAAGTGAATTTGAGGCCAGCCTGGACTACGTGGTGATACACTGCTTAGAAACGAAACAAAAAATAGTCTTAATCAACTTCAAACTTGGTTTCTTAAACATTGATCTGCAATGTTTCATGCTTTCCAAGTGACAATTAAAGAGACAGGATGGGAAGAATAGAATTATTTTGTTATCCTAAGGTATTTACACTACTATGAGGTGCCAGTGTGCTTTTTAATATAGAATTGGACTAATTGCAAATGTGTGTCTCAACTAAAAGCAAAAGAATGCCTACACTAAATAACCTAAATAACGAGAGACAACAAAAGTACAGAAAATCTTCAGTTAGGAACATAAAAGTTTACAAAAAAAAAAAAAAAAAACCCAAGCCTGTCATTTGCTGGAAAATGAAGTGACACCTGTTATTGCAGGGGAAAACAAAATAAAAGCCAAAGACCTGAAAATAGAAGTAAGATCACAGTGAACTGGAAAACAAAGGGTGACAGGAAAGGGGAATGGCTGAAGATAGAAGAAGAAATTTCTTCTTTCTTTACTTTCTTCAGAATAGAGGACATAGGTATAAACCACAAAGCTATAGCCACCTGGTTTTTAATTGAAATTAGATCTTTTCATAAAATGGATTCTAATTATGGTTTCCCCTCCACCCAGATCCTCCCACCCACACACGTCAGCACCCTTTCTTGCTCTCTCTATCATCAGAAAACAAACAGCCAACATGTAAAAATTGCTAGTAGTAACAAAGTAAGACAAAATAAAAACAAACAAAATAAATAGGACAAAACAAACAAACCTAAAAAAAAAAGAGCCAAAGAAAAAGCACAAGAAATACATACATAGAGACATACATATTTGCACACACAGAAATCCTATAAAAACACAAAACCAGAAACCATAACATATAAACAAAAGACCTGTATGGAAAAAAATGCCCAGACAAACTCATTATGACATCAAAAAAATCTTCAAAACTACCAATGAGTTCATTTTGTGTTGGGCATCTACTGCTGGGCATGGAACCTGCTCTTATGTGAGACTCTGATGGAGAAAAATAAGTTTTCTTTTGTGTGCGCTTATCAATTTGAGTCAGTTTCCGGGTTAGGGACTGGGCTCTGTCCACTTCCTCTCTCAGCATTGGGACCCCATCTGGGTTAGACATGTACAGGCTGAGTGTATGTTGCCAGGGTCTCTGTGAGCTCATATGTGTCAGTCCTTCTGTGTCTAGAAGGTCTTATTTCCTTGGTGTCTTTCCTCCCCACTGCCTCTTGCAATCTTTCAGACGCCTCTTCCATAGAGTTCCCTGAGCCTATGGTAGCATGCAGAATACCTTCCAATACCATGAACATTAGTCAATGGGGTGAAGGTTCTAGGTCCACACCAGCTTGACCTCTCCATGTCCAATGAGTTACAAAGATGTCTTCAGCAATAGAGCCTTGCTATCAATTTGTGGAGATAAACCAACAGCCTTGGTGATACAGCCACCTGATTTTTAACAAAGATGTCAAAAATATACATCAGGGGAAGATAACCTTGTCAAGAAATAGTGCTGTGAAAATTGGATATCCATATGTAGATGCATGAAAAAAAATTCCTATCTCACATGTCACACAGGAATCAACTTCAAATGGAGCAAAGACATTAACATGAGCCCTGAAACTCTGATGCTGTGTAGATATTTGAGTGAAAATTCATCCCCTAATCTCATAAGGAGTGGCATTATTAGGAGGTGTGGCCTTGTTGGAAGAACTCTGTCACTAGGGTAGGCTTTGAGGTCTCAAAAGCTCAAGCCAGGCCCAGTGTCATTCTCTCTTCCTGCTGCCTGCTGATCCAGATCTAGAACTCTAGGCTCCTTCTCCAGCACCATGTCTGCCTGTGTGCCACCATGCTCCTACCTTGAGGATTATGGACTAAACCTCTGAACCTGTAAGCCAGCCCCAATTAAACACTTTCCATATTAAGAGTTGCCATGGGCCAGGCGTTGGTGGCGCACGCCTTTAATCCCAGCACTGGGAAGGCAGAGGCAGGTGGATCTCTGTGAGTTTGAGACCAGCCTGGTCTACAGAGAAAGTTCCAGGACAGTATTCTATGAATTTGGAGGTAGAAGATGGACAGCTAGAAGTTCAAAGTACCCTTGACCGCATTTGGAAATCCTAAGTTAAAGAAAGAGGGGGAGAGGGCTATTGGGCCATTAAAAGACATGAAGGAAAATTAAATGCACATAACTAAACTTAAAGAAAAACTGGAAACGCTGCACACTTATTTCTGCCGTGTGGTACATTGGGAAAAGCAAAGTTATGGCTAGAGTAAATATGGGTTAGAGGAAAGGGAAAGATAAATGTACAGAGCAAAAATTATTTTAGGGCAACAAAAGGACTCTATATGCAGTGATATCTGTCTGACGGTCAGAGAATGGAGCTTGACACTAGCTAACCATAGAGCTCTGGATGTCTGTACAGACAGACAGGAAGTGAGCAAGCTGGGTGGAAACAGGATATAAGCAGGTAGTAATAGGAAATCCCTCTCTTGTCTGCTGAGACGCTAAGGAGGTAAGGTGTGGTAGTGGCTTGTTCCTTCTTCTCTCTGATCTCTCAGCATTTTCCTCTATATCTGACTTTGGGTTTTTATTACTTAGACCAGTTAAGAACTCCATTTACATCTATTTGATGTTGTAATCTTAGATATTGCTGTCATACATTGTTTAAGCCCATACGATACACAACATAAGGGTGAACCCTAAGGAGCCAAATGTATAAATTCATGAGCTGTAATAAATGCATCATTTTAGTGGGGACTGCAGATAATTGAGAAAGCTTCGAATGTGCAGAGGCAGGGCAGGCATAGGGATGTGGACATTGGCTCAACCTTCCACTGAGTTCTTCTGTGAATCTAAAACTGCTCTTTAAAAAATCTATTAATGTTTAATTTCAAAGTTACCCCCAAATGAAAATTCTGGAAACAGTATAAGAACAGAAAACATAATACTAGCTCATTGTTCAAAAGTGTTCTGGGCTAAACCATATTCCAAACATCAGATGAAAAGAGTTTCAGATAAGCCATGATTTATTTTAATGGATTGCATTCTTGAAATTGGTGCTAAATAAACAAATAATTTCAGAATGGAAAATTTGTCAACACTCTTAAACACAAAGAACATAATCTGGATAATACTACAAAACAGTGGTTCCCAACCTGTGGGTTGCAACCATCAGAAAACACATACTTCCAATGGTCTTAGGAATGCCCAACCATAAATTTATTTTGTTGCTACTTTATAACTGTAATTTTTCTACTGAGCAGTGTCTCAGTTCCTAAGACCATCGGAAATGTGTTTTGCGATGGTTGTGACCCACAGGTTGAGAATCTCTGCTATAAAATATCTCCTTTCCAAGTATTAATCAGGATGGTTCTGCTTATCTTACAAGATGAGGCATGTGCAGGGTAATGTGACAATAGAAAGTACTCTAGAAACATTAACTGCATATAAAGCAGTTTGAGAGCCTAAAAAATCCAACACTAAGCATCAAACATTGACTCATTAGGACTACCATTAAAGGATGGACATCAACTAAAATGTGATCATGCTTGCTTGCTTACTGCAGTAGAGAATCCCTTAGCACCTTGGTAAAATAAGACCTTTCTTTGCTGAACTTACAAATTTTGAAAAGAGATACAGAGTGGTAATATGCATAAATAAATTTCAGCTGGACCTTAGGATGTGGAACTTCTAAGAAAAAGAGAATTGCAAAGAAAAATAATGATGTTTAGAGGAAGCATGAAACAAATGGGTAGTTTAAAAAGATACAGGTAATCAGTGTTGCCAAAAATCAGATGAATAATTGAGGTTGAATCCAGAAATTGACAGCTTTAATTCTAAGTATAAATGGATTGGAGGTGAGTTAGGGAGGCAGATCTAAGATACCACATGATACTTATCTTTAATTAAAATGTTAGTTAGCATAAAAATTAGATTTCGCAGTAGCATTTTTAAAGATATGTGTCATTACAGACCTTTCTCTGCACCACCACCCCACATACACACCGCCCCGCTCCATCTCTACTTCCCACATCTCCAAATAGTCTCCCTTCTGCTTTCCTGTCAAATATCCAGACACATATACATGTGTGTGTGTTTAAATAGAGAGAACAAATTTGTGACCCTTGTCTTTATTTCCCCAAATACCTTGATTTGACTCCCCACCTCCAGCTCTCTCCCTTTGGTCCATTTTTTCCACACATCTATGTATATAATATAAATCTAGATTCTGCATGAGAAAGAAGCATGAGCTGTTTGTCTTCCAAGGTCTAACTTGTTCCACCTAACATGATACCAAGTATCATGTGTTTTGCTGCCCACGAGAGAATTTCATACATATGCCACATTTTCTTTATCTATTCTTCCATATGTAGGCATGGTGGAGGATGTAGCAATAAGCACAGACATGTAAACATCTGTGTGGTATACTGATTTAGATTTCTTTAGGTATAGACCCAGGCGTGGTATAGCCAGATAACTTGATAATTCTTTGTTTAGTTTTTGAGGGGCCTTCGATCTCCACAGTGGCTACATCAGCAGTGTATGAGGGTTCCCCCTCTCCACATCCTCAGCAGCATTTGCTGTCTTTTTTTTTTCCGTGATAGCCATTTTTATTGCAGTCAGGTGAATTGTCAGGCACTTTTAATTTGTATTTCCCTGGTGGCTAAGATTATTGAAAGGTTTTTCAAATGTTTATTGTTTGTTTGTACTTCTTTTGTGAACCACCCATTCAATGTGTGCATTTATTGGACAGATACCAATTTTTTTGTTCAGTTTTCATTCTCAAGAATTTTCCTCTCTGTGGCTGGGGAGATGGCTCAGAAGTTAAGGTCATTTGTTGCAATGGACTGAAGTTCAGTTCAGTGGCTCAGATCTCCAGGGAATCCAATGCCCTTTTCTTGTCTCCATAAGCATCTGTCTGCACACATACACAAACACACACACACACACACACACACACACACACACACACAGTCTCACATTTAGGGCCTGAAGAGATGTCTCACTAGTTAAGAGTCCTCCCTACTCTTCCAGATACCTTAACTTCAGTCCCCAGCAGTCACATCAGCTCCATGAGAGCCAGTGCTCTCTTCTGGCCCCCACAGGCACTTTCACACAGGTATACAAACACACAAAAATAAAACTAAAAATAATTTTAAATTACTTTGATTTGTTTTAGTTTTGATACAGGGTCTGTCTATGGAGCCATGGCTGTTCCAGAACTCACTGTGTGGACCAGGCTGGCCTCAAATTCACAAAGGTTTGTAGACCTTGGCTTCCAGAGTTCTGGGATTAAAGGCTTGCATCACCGTGTCTGGGAAATTCCATCTCAGCCCAGTCAGAATGAACACCATCAAGAAAGCAAATGTTTCAAAGACGTGAGGACAAGGAGTCCTGACCCACTCTTGTTAAAAGTAAAAACTAGGGCAGCCACTATGGAAATCAATGTTGAAGCTTCTCAAGAAGCTAAAAATGGATCCACCATATAAGCCAGCTAGCTGTACCATTCCTGAGAATGTATCCAGAGGACACTACACTGTGTTTGTCTCTACTCTTCTTCACCATGACAAGGAAAGGGAATCAGCCTGCATGAATGGATAATTGAAATGTGGTATATACATATAAAGCTTTGTTCAACTGTATGGAAAAATGGAATTCACAGGAAAATGGATGAAACTAGAAAGTATATTCAGCCAGGGTAACCCCGGGTGATCTCTCTCATACTTCGATGTTAGCCTCTAACTATTAAATATATGTCCAGGCCAGGAACCTGGAAAGGAGCCAATCAGACTGGGGTCGGGGCATGAGAGGGGCGGTGCTTTAAGAAAAGCGGTGGGAAAGACATTAGAACAAAGTAGAAAAGAGTAAGTGGGGAGCGGGGCGGGTGGGGGGGAAGGCAGTATTAAACAAAAATGGAAATATATAAAAATTCATCTGGACACTTACCTGTAAGCTAATTTAAAAAAAAAAAAGCATTGTTTTTTTAAAAAAGAAACACGGAGTTTTAACGAACGTACCATCACCATATGCGGCTGCACAAATAGTCACGTAACAAAGATTCCGAATGAGAATAGTTATTTAAATACAGAGAGAAGAAAACTTTTCCACCTAAGTCAAAGTCATCATAGGAGAATGCTGTTTGGTTTTACTGTTAGCGAAACTTCTTAGTAACTTTGAGCAGCAGAAGTTTCCTTTCCCAAACCATCTTTGTCATATGCCTGAGCAAGAGAATACCGCCCACACAGGGCGCAATACTTAGACATGACTGTGCAAACCCAGAGAAGCTTCCTCAGTGCCAGAAAAGGGCTCTCGGAGGCAACACATGACTTCCTTGCAAGATTAAACAATTTTCATCTGTTGC